GAGAGAGAGAGAGAACAGTTCGACAAATTCATCATGACCAGAGAGAAGCGCCTTGCGTCATATAAACAGGGAGAGCTCGGATGTGCGAAAGGAAAGTGGTGCGGGCAAGGGTCGAAAACGGCGGCGGGGATGGGGGCCAAAAACCGGAAAGGTAAGAGCAAAGGAAACTCGATCTCGCTTTCTTACGATATGAACAAAAACACAGTACACCCGTTACAAATAAATAAATAATGAGGGAAATGTAAGCATTTATTGATCACAGCCATTGTGAGCGGCATAGTCTGAATTCTGGGATAGCACTGGGCAAATTCGAGCGAAGAAAAAGCAGTTTACGGTGGAATGCGCTACAAAGCACCTTTTCATTCACCAGTGAACATCTCTTGGAAAAATTATTTTTTACAACATTCTTAATGCTATTAACGACGCGGTCAATCACCAAAACCAGTGAGTTCGCTGTACAGTCGATGCGCAACTCCGACACCACATCGACACTTCCATCGTGGATCAGGTCCCTTCCAGTCAGCACGAGCCACCCCCATAAAAAAAAAACGTTAGAACACTAGCCTCTTTGGGAAAAGCGAAATTCGCCACATGCTTTATTAAATTCTAACTGAATTCCAACTGTTGAAAGGATATCGGTGAAATAAGCAAATCTCAAGATTGGCTGGCGAACACGTTTGTACTTGTATTGATGAGGGCACTTCTTTTCATGATCCCATACAAACAAGCTGACATTCCCAAAACCAGAACTGTTCTGGAAAAGAAACTGAAAATCTTTACAAGCGGCAGGATAAGGCAAACAGAACACCAACAAAAAACTAATTTACAGGCGCCGCTCACTTTCAGTAAGGAAAAACATGTATAGAACAGTGCGAGATGAAAGGCGTATTGATGAAATTGCGCATTCCACTACTACAGAAAGTAATCGACATTGCTAATTTCCCATCAAAAATTTGTAGATGCCGCTCACTTTCAACAGAAAAGTTACTATGCACATTCAAACAAAGTAATACACAGTTTAATCAATAAGCTTTTCAACTTCCACTTTTCCGTGCACACCTTCCTTTCTTGTTGAAAGTAAACGGTATCTGTAAATTATCAAGGTCAAGTGACCACTTTCAAGAGTGCCTTCAGCGATTTCTGTAACAGGAGTTCCTTGAAAAAAAATTCCCTACAAATGCTTTTAACTCGTAACTGTAATGGCTGTTTTGAAAAAGTGCACGAGGATTCTTAATAAACATTAGGCTACAACAGCGGAAGGAATAAGTACGTTTGGCACTGTACAGCAAGAGACAAGAAAGGACGATCCCTCTAACCTTAGAAAGTTTTCAATATATTCGACGGAGCGAAAATTAGAGTGAGCTAAGCAGTGAAAAAAGCATCTGGGGCGAAGTTATTCTCGGATCCTGGCAAGAAGAGGTTTAAAAAGGTCAAGAAGATAACTGAAGAGTTTTGAATAGCAGTACGGATTCATCCAAAATTAAGAAACCGCCACAAAAAATCCAACAAAAGCAGAATTTCTTTTACCAAGCGCAGTGACGGCCGTTAGCTGATTCAAACGGAATAGGAACAGATGCGGTAGATGCTCGTTCACGCAATTCAATGCCAACACTTGACTGCTGCTGTCTGCTGCTTACACTTGACTTCCGGTCTGACGCTTTGCTGACTTCCGAATCCGAACTTGAACTTTCCACTGATAACAATAAAGAATATTGCGAATTTTTACCAGCGCCTAAAAAATCGGCTTCATAATATTGCAAAATTTCAGATTATCCATACTTGCAGTAGCGGCAAGGATGTCACTGAGCAGTGGATGCTAAAATCATTGGCGACGCGCACCGGCGGGCCCGTGCGATTATGCGTTTTTGCAGTGTTTCGTGCTGTAATAAGATCATTCGAAATTCCGCTAGCTAGAAACCTCTT